CCCTTATTTGTCAAAGCAAGTGCTTATTGAATTTAAGTGATTTTGGAGGAGTGGTGATCTCTGTGCTGAATAATTGAACTAACCAAGAGTTCATGACCCCTGGGAGCTGACTCTTAAATAGAGTTGACATGAGTGATTATGCAAGAGAATCTAGTCATATCAGTAGCCAAGACAATGGACAAACAGGACTCAATATCTTCGGACTGCCTGTGGCAAGCATCAGGGGTTAACATGTAGCTGGGGTGGAGGTTGGATAGCAAATAAGTGAGTAGCAGAGGGGGTCAGCACAAAATGTGAAACTTTCCTTGAAGAGGCAAGGTGCAACCAAGCATTGACTTTTATCTGAGAGAAGGCAAAGACTTAAGACCTATGTATCTTGCACCTGGGAGATAGGCCACTGGAACTCAGGTCAGGACATTGAAACGTTCTATTCGTGACCCAGGTGACATCGTATCAAATACTTTTATGCATGTGCATATGATTGGTAGAAATGAATCATGTCCAGAACACTGGATGCAAGAGAGTCTGAGAAATGACAGGTTGTTGTTGTTGCTTTAGTGTCTGTTCGTTTTTTGTTTGTTTGTTTGAGCTTTCAGCAATATAAGAAGGCATGATAGAAGGAGGGTGGCATGGATCCTGAGCAACCAATCTTTAGTAGCCACCATGGGATTGAAAGAGCACAACTGCTTTTGAGACAGATGATTTGGGCAGGAGAGTAGAGGCTGAATTGGGGAGAGAGAGCAGCACAAGAGACCAAGTGATGGATGACAATAGATTAGAAAGGGTGAGGACTTGAGTATGGGTAGCAGGGAGAGAGAGGAGGAACACATGAGAGAGATGTTAAAGAAGATAATTGTCAGGACTTGGAGACTGGTTGGCTAGCACCAAGGTGAGGGAGAGGCGAGGTGTATGGATATATCCTTAGTTTTTGGCTATTTCTGGGAACTCACGGGAAGGAGGAGGCAGGCAGGGGTGGGAGAAGATGAATTAAATTTTGGAGTTACTGTGAGGTTCCTGTGAAATATTCAGGAGATATCCAAAAGGCAGTTGGAGATTCATCTCAGCAGTTCAAGAGAAGAGAGCTACGTGGGGGATCAGCAGAGTTGTAAGCAGCATGCAGGCAAGGGCCTGTGTCTGTTTTGTTCCCTACCAGTGTCCAGTAACTTTCTTGAAGGGAGGAGCATCAGTGTGTAATGTAGGTGGTAGTTCAAGTCTTGGGGATACATGGGCCCATCATTCAATGCATGTGTGGAATGAGAAGAAGGGGGGACTAAAATTAGAAGAACCCTAAGAAATCATGCCTTAATGACTGGATGAAGAAGAACCCAGGCGGGAAGTAAAGACAGTATAACCAGACAGGCCATGTGGTTGGTGTTTTCAAGGCAAAAGGAACATTTCAAGAATGAGGAAGGCATCAATAGAGCCAGGTGGGAGAGAAATCAGGGAAGATAAAGGAAAATTGGCCACAAGAGTTAGCAACAACTTCGTCATTTTTATATGTTCACAAGAAGGTCTAGTTTCCTATGGGATGATGGGGGTGAAAGCCAGGCTGCAGTGGTTGAAGATCAGTGGAGACAAGATAAGATTGTATTTTTAAAGGCAAGGATAAAGATGCTGGTTGCTTACATTATAATACCGTCCTGATCACCAGTATCTGTTTCAACATAATCTAGAAGAGTGGGTTTTAAACTATTTTGATCATTATCTGCTATAAGAAGTACCTTTTACATCACAACCTGGCACATTAATATTTATGTAAAACTGAAACAGAAGCTTTATTACATAGTATTTACCCTAACTCTACAGACATTTCATATAAATGGAATCATACAAAAGCCTTTTGTGTCAGGCTTCTGTCACTTACAATGTTTTCAAAGCCCCCTTCTGTTGTAGCATGTAACTGTACTTCATTCCTTTTCATGGATGAATACTGTTCCATCCTTTTGATATACCTCATTTGTTTATCCATTCATCACTTGATTGGCATTTCAGTTGTTCCCATCTTTCGGGCTATTGTGAATAATGCTCTTACGAATGTTTGTGTACAAGTTTTCATGTGGACATGCTTTCATTTTCTCCTAGGAGTGGAATTGTTTGATCAAATAGTAACTACGTTTCACTTTCTGAGGAACTGCCAGACTGTTTTCCAAAGTGGCTTCACCATTTACATTCCCACCAGCAGTGTCATGAAGATTCGAATTTTCCCACAGCTTCCCCAACACTTGTTATCTAGCTTTTCTATTATAGCCATCCTACAAATAATGCTGTGGTAATATCCTGAATTTCATTTGCATTTTTCTGATGGCTAATATTTTTAGCATCTTTTCATGTGCTTATTGACCATTTCTTTGGCGAAATGTTATTTAGTTCCTTTGCCAATTTTTTAAATTTGGTTACTTTGCTTTTTATAATTGAGTTATAATAGCTCTTTATATATTCTAGGCACAAGTCCCTTATCTGATATATAATTTGCAAATATTTTCTTCCACTCTGTGGGTTCTCTTTTCATATCCCTGACAGTGTCCTTTGAAATACAAAAGTTTTTAATGTTGATAAAGTCCAGCTTATCTAGTTTTTCTTTCGTGGCTTGTTTTTTTCACGTCATATCTAAGAAACTATTGCCAAATTCAAGGTCACAAAGATTTACATCTATTCCTCCCATTTTGTTAAATCTAGCCACAACAATTAATACTGATTCTTTAATATAATCAAGTGTTCAATCTGTTCAAATTTCCAGTTGTCTCATGAATGTCACAAATATGTGTGTGTTCATGCACATTTCACCTGAGTCAAGCAGTCTTTTCCCTTCTTATTTATTTGCTTTAAAACTGGGATGTTGGTCCTGTAGTTTTTTACAGTCTGTATTCCGTATTGCAGTTTAAAGTGTTTTTCGGTCTTCCATTGTATAAATTGAAAATTGGATCTAGGAGCTTGGTAGAAGTCAAGGTTGTCGTTCTGTCACGAATCATTCATAGGTCGTGTTATGAGCCCAAACTTTTATTTATTTATTTATTTATAAATGTATTGCTTTTGAAAGAGAGGAATGAAGAGGGGGGGAGGGAAAGAGAGAGGTTGTTCCATTTATTTATGCATTCATTGGTTGATTCTTGTAAGTGCCCTGACCTGGAATCAAACCTACAACCTTAGCATTATCTATCTGGATGATGCTCTAATCAACTGAGCTACCTGGCCAGGGCAAGCTCAAACTTTTAAGTGGGGACTTCTTTGGGTTTTATTCTATCTAATAGGGCCAGAAGTCACTTTATTTATGAACTGCATTCATTCAGAATTTCCAGTCATCTAGTTAAGATCGGTGACTGTCCTAGCCTCGAGAGATTTCTAAGGAATAGAAAGCAATTTTCATTCCTCTTAGAGTCTGCAGTACAGTAGGAGTTCCAGAATTAAATTTGTTCGTCTCTGGCTAATCCAGTTTCTTGCCCCGCTCCAGCAATAGCTATCTGTTCACTTTTACAATGTAAGAGTAAGAAGAGCCCTTAGACGAATTTCTGTACAGTATAAGGGAGTCCTAAGTTTTTGAGGGCCCAGGAGCCTGCTAAAATGATCTTTTCCTGAGGTGAGAGTTGAGAGGTTTCACTGAATTCTCAAGTAGGTCTAAGTCCTCATGTGACAGAAGGGAGATGGAGGCAGAGAGGGGGAAGGAGTTTTCCAAAAGCCATACGACAAGCTTGAGGTAGAACTGGAGTAAATCTGAAACCTTCTGGTCTCTAGTCCAGGGCTTGTACCCTGGTTCCACACAGAGCAGGGCAGTGATTCCAAGCAGAGTGGAAGTATTGTGGAGGCTTGCCTTCGTAGTATGGAGCATGTTGGAAAGTGCAAGCCATCAAAGTCTCAGGAAACTATGAGGAAAGGGAATCTGACCTGCAAGTGCAGAGTTATCGGAGAAAGCCAAATAGAATTGGATTTTGGATAATTTGTAGAGTATCTTTGTTGAATTTGCATACCTAATTGTGAGTTGCCTGTAATACTTAGGCAGGGACCAAAGGCACCTTTGCTTCTTCCTTGGCCCAGGGTGCAAACAAAGTGGCTGCCAAGGCATGCCTCCTCCCCATGTATCTATCCCCTTTCTAAAAATTTCTTTTCCCTCCTCCCCAGCTCTTTTCCTTCCTTTCTATAACCCTTCTCTCCATCTTATCTCCTACCTCTTCTCCTTCTTTCCCATCTTTCCTTCTCTTTTTCCCTTGTTCCCCAAGGTCTTCCTCTTGTTCCCTTTCCTCCCTCCTGCCAAGTCCCCTCCCGTCCACTCCCTCCCTCTTTCCCAGTCTTTTCCTGCCCCTCCTCCTCCTCCTCCTCTCCCTACATCCCGCTCTGTCCACCCTCAACAAGCTTCCCACCCCCACACCAGCACCCGGGGCTGGTGGCTCCTGCTAGTCAGAATGGAGCGAGCCTGCTCGGGGTGCCTTGAGCCCTGCAATTGGCTGCCTCCGCTAGCACGCCAGCCCAAGTCCCACCCCCCAGCGAGTAAACGCGCTGCTGTGGCACCTGCTATTGGCCGGCGGGCCTGTCAGCGGCGGGGGCTGCGCCTCACGCAGGCGCCCGCAGTCGCTCGGTGAATAAAAACGCAGCCCACGAGCTGGGGGCTGGGGAGAGGAGAGGGAGAGCCAGCGAGGCAGGGCTGGGACGAGTGGCTGGCAACCGGGAGCCCCACGAAGAGAGCGAGCGAGCGTAGGAAAGCGAGCGAACTAGAGGCAGTGGGGGAGACCGAGACTGACCGGTAGCCAGGCAGGCGGACGGACGCACGCCGGGACAGACAGACTGAGCGGGCGCTGGAGAACCTCGCACGGGTTCCTCCCGCCTTTCCCTTTGAAAGCCAGGATTTTGCCTTTTCCGTGGCGCCCGAGAGAGAATGCTGGACGCTGCCGACTTCAGCGCAAGCTAAGCTGCTCAGCTAGGGAAGAAAAATCAGCTCAATCCTGAGACGGGGGAAGCAAGCTCCCCTGTCCCCACCCCCCCTCCCCCGATACCAAACTCGGGCACCAACCCAACCCTTCCCTAACCATCCGACTTCCTCCTCTCCTTTCTAGAATGGTGGCTGTATGGACAGTCTGACAGAACAGAGACTGACATCTCCCAATCTGCCGGCCCCCCACCTGGAACACTACAGTGTTCTGCATTGCACCATGACCCTGGATGTGCAAACTGTAGTCGTTTTTGCCGTGATTGTAGTCCTCCTGCTTGTCAATGTCATACTCATGTTTTTCCTGGGAACGCGCTGAATGGAGTCCAGCCACCTGAGCTGTTGCTAACTCTCGATTTGATTTCATCCAGAGAACCACCGAGAAAAAAAAATCAAGAGAGACAGTCAGAGACAGGGAAAGAGAGGGAGAGAAAGAGCAAGCTTTCTTACTCAGGGGGGAAAACGTTTTGAGCTTCAACATGGCCTCGCTGTGATATGTATGACGTTGGTATATTATCTCTCCCTAAATCTTTTGTCATGTCTTGTCTTTTAAGTATGCCTGTGAGCGTAGTTGCTTATTGCTTGAGTAAAATTGTTGATAAAGAAATGCTTTCTATTTAAGTGTGCATGTGTGTGTGTGTGTGCATTCTCCATTTATGTGACGTTCACGGAGCAAACTCCGGGTCCTTAAACAGTGGCTTTGCTGTTTGTGGTGTCTTGTCAACTAATTTTCTTGAAAACTATCTTTAAATTCCAGGAAGGAATTTTAGTCGAAATTTCTCTCGTGCTATCAGGACTGTATTTGGGTTTGTTTGGGGGGTAAGGGGGATTGTGGGAAGAGCATGATGGATTTTTGTCATCTTAGGAAGGACAGTCTTGCACTGGATGTTTAGAAGAAAAAAAATTTGATAGAAGGAATGAATTTAGGGAAAATGTTTCTTTAGTCTCTAATGAGAAGGGACAATTTGAGAAGTGATGTGGTGGGGTGCGTTGAGCTGGCAGTTGGTGACTCTGCCCTTTGAATCTCAATTTGCTGTCCAGGGTTCACAGTTTCCAATTTGGAAAGAAGCCACCTTGAAAACATTTCTTAAAGCATTAAATATCAGTTTCTTTGGAATTATGGAATGGGATGTAAAAGCATTATCTGATCTTTATGAATTGGCAAGACAAGACATTGATGAGCTGTTACTGGGTTTCTTTTTCCGAAGACTACCCCTGGATTTGAATTTGGGGATTTTCTCTGTGTGTCCTCTAAAAAACAAGAAAAGCCAGCTCTTTACCTACCTTGGGAGTAATAGTATTCAGATATGCCTCTTTGGGGTAATCTCATTTGCAATGATGTACTTGAACTACATTTTAAATAGAACTTGCTAATGCTAATGAGAAAGTGGTAGTTTTTGTTCGCCTCCTTGTTTGTTCTTTAAGATCAGAATCCTCTCTAATTAAAAGATTTCCAGGACAAATGGAAGTATATATCTTGCTAAGTAGAGTTTTTGAGTGCCCCCCAATGTAACCCCCAAAAGTCTGGGTGGAATGGGGTATGAGTGGGGAAACCATGAGCTAGAAACAATATTCCAATTTGCCATATATTTGCATGTCCGTATCAAATGGTAGTGGTGGTAGTTGCTGTTATTATTGCTATTGTTAATATTTTTATATTTCTGTTTCCACTGAGAAAGCTCTTGGCAAAGCCAGGAAAAAGATGTCTCTGACGCCAGTGTGCATAATACTTGTTTTCCTCCCTTCCCCCACCCACCGATGTAGGCAGGTCTTCCTCATTCCCTTGCTTACCTGACTTGAAATAATGCCATTTCTGGCTCATGTAGCAATGAATCAGGGCGCATCCACATCCACACACATGTTCCCCCTACACCCATGTGGGCGGCTGCTCATGTGTGGTGTGCAGATCTGCTGGCATTGTGCTCTCAAGTTCCATGTCCTGTTGTTTAATCTCTTGGGAACTGATTATGAAGGGAGAGAGGGGCTATGGAGGGGCCTCTTGAAATCGTCCTAACCTCGGACACAGGACAATTTATTTAATGGTGTCAGAAGAGGTTTTGAGTCTTGAAGTGTGCTCTCCTTGGCTTGGCATGGGTGAGAAGCTGATTTTTTAATTTGATCAGTACCGGTACCGTGGTGTAAGCATCAGCTGGGAAGTTTTCTGGCATTGATACTTATTTACTCTTTGGTCCCTTTGTGGGGCTCCCTGCATTGAACTAAGAACTTGTTTCTTTGCAAGGAGAATCTAGTGATGACGCCCCCCTCCCCAAGCTCCAGTGGTATTATCTAAAGTAAGCTTATATTTTGACTGGGCAGTTTGTTTTGAGACAGCATTGAAGAGTGAGGAAAGGCTCCAGGCTGGGCACTAAAGACCTGGGTTCTCTGTTCAGTGGCTATTTGACCTTGGGCATTTTTTTTCCTTTTCAGTGGATTTTTGGGGATCCCTGTAACATTGGCATTTAGGGATGGTTACACTAAGTTACCTCCAAGTTGTTGCATTCTGTGATTTTGGGTGCCCATAGGCACTTTAAATCAGAGGGGGACAAACTGTAAAGACAAGTGAAAAGGAAGATGAAATGTTAATCAAGGGGTGGTGGGAGGTGGGGGAAAGAAATACCTGGTTCCGGGTGTGTAGAGAAGTTTGTTTCACCTAAGAGATTTTTTTCACCCAGCTCTGTGGGAAAGCCACTACAACAATAGAGTACTTCCTGCTTTTTTTTCCCCCTGAGGGGAGAAGGGTTCTCTAAAGCTGGTCTTGGGGCCAGGTTTATGACAAAGTAGTATCACGAAATGCCACAGTCTTCATGACGGGGTGCCTGATAGGCCCTTTGCAGAATGCCTCTGGGAATGTATGTGTGTAGGTTGTGTGACAGTATGTTCGTGGGTGTGTGTGCACACCCTTCTGTGTGTGTGGGGGTGTGGGGGGTGGGTGTACACTCCTGAATGTGGATGGAGGTTGGTTGTGCTAGGAATGAGGAAAAACAGAAGGGCATGCATTGAGTTCCACAGTTCTGAATGGCCTCCTTGTGCTGGGGACTGGAAGGATTTGACTGGTGCTAGGATGGATGGGTGTTCCCCCTACCAGTCCTCCCACCAACCCCCACGACCCCTCCTGCTAAAGGGGTAGCTTGAATGAGCCCTTCCATCAGTAATTTAGCTGGCAAAATGGGTAAGCATTTTTCAGATTAATTTATCTCTAGGCAAATAAAGGAATGTTTCTAGCCAGATGGCAGGCCACCCTAGAGCAGCTAAAAGGGAGTTTGGGGAGTAGAGAACCAAAGTTGGCAGTGTGACTTTTTACTTCTGTGAATCCTAAAGGTTTGGCATTTCTCCTTCAGACTTGTGAGGGTATGCAAAAAGAGAAGAGTGGGAGAAAATGAAAAATGCAGTCAGAGCAGTGGAATCCTCTGCATTTTGACTCCTTTTTTTTCTTTTTTTTCCTTCCCTCTCCTGCCTCTTTTCTTCATCTTCCCCCTTTTGTCTTTGCTCCCTCCCCTGATATAGCCTTCTCCCCCATCTGTCTGTGGCTAGGCAAGAAAGAAAAGAGGGCCTTTTCTTTTTGATTTGCCCCAAAATTTCCCAACAGAGTTCCTCATTCCTTTCACCTCTTTGTGACCTCTCTGGGTAGAGGATACCTTTCACTACTAGGAGGGGCCAAATTCCAGCACAGGAATTTTGACTTCCACATCCCTCCTAGAGGATTCAAGAAAATACCCTCAGCTGGTATCCCAGCAACCCCTTCATTACTTAGCTCCTGCTGAGCTCCAGATCCCACTCTTTAAATGTCCAGACACCAAGACCTTTGGAGCAAGGGGGCTTGAACCCAGCAGGAGTCGGAGAGATGCTTTGGGGGAGAGGACAAAGACGGAGCAAGATCCTCACTGCCTGCAAATACCTAGCAAACACACACAGAAGGCATACTGAGCCTAGCATTCTTCCAGTCATGGGGACTGTTTTCTGGAAAGCTCCTGTGTTCAAATCCCTCTTCAGTTAATGCCTTTTCCTTAAGATTAACTGAGCCTGTCCAGCCAGTGTGGCTCAGTGGTTGAGTGTCGACCTATGCACCAAGAGGTCGCAATTCGATTCCCGGTCCGGGCACATGCCCAGGTTGTGGGCCTGATCCCCAGTGTGGGGCATGCAGGAGGCGGCCAATCGATGTTCTCTCTCATCAATGTTTTTCTCTCTCTCCCCCCTTCCTTCCTCTCTCTCTAAAGGTCAATAAAGGAAAAAGATTAACTAAGCCATATCACAGCCCAGCTTTAGTGCAAGGAGGTCTGCAGGCCCTGGGGGGGGGGGATCTTTTTGGCTCTGAGTTTTGGCTGAGACAGGGAAGAGATGAAGGGACAGTGTAGTGGAAACCAACTGAGAGTGCTTTCCCCCATTGAGACAGCCTCTATTTGTCAGCACCTCCAACATCTGCTTGCACAGTTTGCCCCAATGTTGTCTGTAGCTTAGGGAACCTAGCCCAGCTGCATTGTGGAATCTGGGGGCATTTGTTTGTATGTTGTTGGTCTCAGTCTTTTTTGACTGGGAAGGCTGGGCAGACTGGGAAGGCCTGTGTAATTGTGGGGCTGGTGAGCAGGGTTTGGGCCCGGGCTGAGATTTGCTTGTTACTTGTATGTGTGCGATTAAGTGGCTGGGGAGCTGAGGGATTGCAGTGAGCCGGTGAGTAACGTGCTCTTCTGCCCTGTGGTGAGGCCCAGATTGCGAGTGCTTGGCTGTGACTGGAGGGCACACTGGTGGTTGCAGGGATGGTGCCAAATCATGTCCTCCTAGCCTTTGTCTGCCATCTTGGCCTCTGCTCCCCTTGGCGTGTGGAGTGCTTGCTCTGGACAGGGACATGATTGGGAATTGAGCCTATTCTCCGAAAATAACTGCCTCCTCAGAAGACCTCCCACAAAGCATCTGGATCCAGCCCCAGTGGCTTTGCCCCAAGAAGTGGGATGGAGATGGAGAATCTTAGACTCTCCAGCTCTTATTTCTAGCTCAGCAACTTGTTCTAGGCCAACTGAGTATATTGCTTTCCAAGGACCCTTGACCAAAGCTTAGTTCTTCTGATATCTGCAGAGAGTGACTCCTGTCACTAGGTGGGTCTACCTCTCACCAGCATTTAGCTAATTGTGCTTTGCCCTGGCACGAAAGTCCAAAGTGAAAAACCTAGAAGGGGGAAGGGCCTAGAGGAGAGAGCAAGCTCAGGAAGTGGTCCAGTAATGGAAGTCTCTGTCAGTGCATGGGCCTGCAGAGTTTACAGAGCAGTTTCACGTCCCAGTTTCAGTGTCACGTCAGCCTTGTGAGGCGACGAGCGATGATTGTTATTCTTGCTTTTACAGATGAGGGAAGTAAAGGTCAGAGAGCTCGGTGGTATGGGAGTGGGTCTGCTTTTCAAACAGAGAGAAGGGAGAGGCAGAGTGGATCATTCCCAGCTAGTGTGAAGCTGAATGGAGTCAGGTGGAGAGAGAGGTATGTGAGTCTCCCTTGAAATCATACTAGTTTCTTCAGCTACTTGCT